ATCATCATCATCATCATCATCATCATCATCATCATCATCATCATCATCATCAGCAGCAGCAGCAGCAGCAGCAACATCATCATCAGCATCGTCGTCGTCATCATCACCATCACCACCACCACCAGCAACATCATCATCATCACCACCGTCATAGTCAGCATGATCACCATCATCATCACCATCAGCATCCATCATCATTATCAGTAGCATCATCACCACCACCACCACAACCATCATCATCATCATCATCATCATCATCATCATCATCATCATCATCATCATCATCAGCAGCAACATTATCATCAGCATCATCACAATCATCATCGTCAGCATCGTCGGCATCATCTCCAACATCATCAACATCATCACACGCATCCGCGTCATCAGCCTCCTCCTCCTAATGATCATCCTTTTCATTATCATCCTCATCCTCATCCTTATCATCAGCATCAGCATCAACATCAGAAGCAACATGATCATGATCATCAACAGCATCAGCATCAGCATCAGCAGCAGCAGCATCATCATCATCATCATCATCATCATCATCATCATCATCATCATCATCATCCATCATCATCATCATCATCATCATCATCATCATCATCATCATCATCGTAATGATCATCAACATAACCATTACCATCACCATCCTCATGCTCACGCTGATGCTGATCATCATCCTCATGCTCATCCTCATCCTCATCCTCATCCTCGTCCTCATCCTCGACATCATCATCACCATCGTCATCATCATCATCAGCATCATCATCACACTCATCAGCATCGTCATCATCATCATCATCATCATCATCATCATCATCATCATGAGCAGCAGCATCGTCATCATCATCATCAGCACAATCATCATTCTCATCATCAGCAGCATCATGAGCAGCAGCATTAGCATCATCATAGTCATCATCACCATAATCATCAGCATCACTATCAGCATCATCAGTATCATCAGCATCGTTAGCATCATCATCAGCATCAGCATCAGCATCAGCATCAGCATCAGCATCATCAGCATCATCATCATCATCATCATCATCATCATCATCATCATCATCATCATCCTCATCCTCATCATCATCCTCATCACCATCATCATCACCATCATCATCATCATCATTATCAGTCAGAATCAGTATCAGTATCAGCATCATCAACATCATAATCATCATCAGCAGCATCAGCATCATCATCATAATTTTCCTCGCCCGCCTCGTCAGCATCATCGCCGTCGCCGCCGACGTCGCTTGCCCCCATTGCCGCGGCTGCCCCCCCCCTTCAGGGAACTCCGGCCTTGGGCACCGGCGGTTGGCAGGGGCAGGTGGAGAAAGTAACACCCTAGCACCCTGGGCGAAAGAAGCCCAAGATCCGTGATGAAGCAGGGCTCCAGGCGCTTTCTTAGCGAGGTTACGCCCTTGGGAGAGGAGGCCAGGAGAGCCCGAATCCAGCGGTGTTGAAAACATTTTTTTTTTTGTTTTTTTTTCCACGGCAACCGAAGCCAAGCGCCAAAGCTAGCCCCGCACAAACGGAACCAACACAAAACAGGCGATCAAAGACAAGGAAAAGACTAGCGAAACGAAAACGGCGTTAAAACTGTGCGCTCGTTCGCTCGCTTTCTCTCTCTCTCTCTCTCTCTCTCTCCCTTCAGACGAAGTCCAGCCTCGGGCGCTGGCCACGCCGCCCCAGCCATGGCCGCGCAGCCACTGGCGGCGAGGGCGTCGTCCTCCTCCTCCTCGTCATCGCCACCGCCGTCCTTTCGCCCGTTCGTCCTTCCCTCCTCCTCCCTCCTCCATCCTCTCTCCTCCTCGTCTTCCGGCATCCTCCTCTTCCCTCCTCCTCCTCCTCCTCCGACTACTCCTCCTCCTGCTCATCCTCCGCCTCCACCTCCCTCCTCCACGGAACTCGCTGCAAGACTGGTCATGCAGGCAAAAAGCCAGTTTCAATGAAGCAGTCCGTCTGGGCAAGAGTTTGCTGCCCCTTGCCCAAAGCGAGAAGACGAACGGCAACAACAGGGGTCGCCCTGAGAAGGAAACGGAAGGGCCCCCTTCCAAGACTGCATTTGGGTGCCTAGCGCCAATCCCCTCCGCAGCTTTCTTAACTCAGAGGTGGGGTCGCGGGACAACACTGGCAAGTGACGGTCAGGAAAAAATCGATGATGACGATCGCGCCCTGGAGCTCGACTCACATCTCTAAGGAACACGGCCCCATCTGTAACGACATCCTGGGCAGGGACCACTCAGCTTGGTGCCGCTGCCCATACTGAAATCCCCCACGACCAGAGCAGCAAACGATCGGGATCCTGCCGCCTTCCACCCATCCAATGACAGTGGTGTGGATGGAGATCGGGAGCACGGACAAGCAGGTCCCGAAAAAGAGAAGGCGATTCGGCACAGTTAAATCTCGAACCGGGGCTGAGTTCCCTCAATCGTCTGAGGCGACTGAAATGACGGCTGCCTTGCTCCTCCTCCTTCTCCTCTTCCTCCTCCTCCTCCTCTTCCTCCTCCTTCCCCTCCTCCTCCTCACCCCATGGTCAAAGGAAACGTTTGGGTCGCTTCGCGGACGCCGTGACGGGGGGCTGCACATTCAAATCTTAAGCGTCCACAGGGCGCTCTACCTCCTGCACGTCATGCTTTCTCCAGATCTGACCCCAGAACCGCACAGACTTGTCTGACAGCTTCTAGGGTCCTACAGGGCTGGACCAGGTCATAGGTGAGGGTGCCCCAATCAGAAATCTCCAGGGCCGCCTTCGACTTCGTGTAACGATCGGCTCGGCTAGCTCTCTTAGTAAACTTCGCGAATGCCAACTAATGCCGAGCCTCCAACAAGTGTCGGGCGCAAGCGTCCAGAACAACCTGCGCCTGTACCAAGATCGCATCAACACAATTCCCCGCGGACTCGAGGTCAGGAGGAGGAAGAAGAGGCGGAGGCTGAAACGGGAGGAGGAAGCGGGAGGAGCAGGAAGAAGGAGGAGAGAGGAGGAGGAGGAGGAGGAGCAGGAGGAAAAGGAGGAGAAGGAGGACGAGGAGGAGGAGGAGGAGGAGGACGAGGAGGGGGGAGGGGGAGAAGGAGCAGGAGGATTGAGGAGGGAGGAGGGGGGAAGGCAGGAGGAGGAGCCGGAGGAGGAGCCGGAGGAGGAGCCGGAGGAGAAAGACGCGGAGGAGGAGCCAGACGGAGGAGCGACTCGGCGGCCAGATGCCGCGAGAACAGAAGTGGCGGCGCACCCAAAGGGCTGGCCGCGGCACTGCGCCGGAGCCTCGGGGAGCTCGAGCCGAGACGGGCGCGCGCCGCGGTAATTATGCAGCTCGTCGTCGTCGTCGTCGTCGTCGTCGTCGTCGTCGTCGTCGTCGTCGTCGTCGTCGTCGTCGTCGTCGTCGTCGTCGTCGTCGTCGCTGTCGTCGTCGTCGTCGTCGTCGTCGTCGTCGTCGTCGTCGTCGTCGTCCGCGGCGGGCACGACAAGGAGGGGGGAGGACGCCGACCCCAGAGCGCAGTTGCCCTGTCGGGCGGACCCTGTCGAGCGGACGTTGTCGGGCGGGTCGGGCGGTCGGACCCTGCCTGATGCGCAACAGCTGACAGCGACGCCGAGAGACGCCGCCGCCGCCAAACCGCGGCGGCCCCCACTGCTGGCCAGCTCCCGCAGGGCCGCCGGTGACGCCCGAGCTCCTCTCCTCCTCCTCCTCCTCCTCCTCCTCCTCCTCCTCCTCCTCCTCCTCCTCCTCCTCCTCCTCCTCCTCCTCCTCCTACTCCTATCCTTATTCCTTATTAGAATATACTCCTACTCCCCCCTCAGGCCGGCAGATAGCGGGCGCATCCGGGTGGTCCCATCCTAACCTGTAAAAAACAATACAAAATCAACATTTTTCTTATTTTTTCCTCTCGACATGGACGTCCTGTCGTCCACGGCGATAATCCATTGCAAAAAATACCACAAAGAGCACACGCGCGCGTTCATGTCAGAATCCTACCGAACACCGTGTGTTTGCAAGCATTTCAACATAAAAACATCAAAAACCCAATGCTTTTTCACAAAAATTGTACAAATTTCCCGCCCGGGCTCTCTTGCTGAAATCATAGGAAAACCATAGGAATCTTAAGAATTCGGTCAAATCCAGCGATTTCACGTCATCGCGCGGTGCACTCGCGATGCTCTGTCATGCACCCAGGCCGCGAATCCTGTGCAAAAAATACCACAAAGAGCACACTCGCGCGTTCATGTCAGAATCCTACCGAACACCGTGTGTTTGCAAGCATTTCAACATAAAAACATCAAAAACCCAATGCTTTTTCACAAAAATGCTTTGGGGTGTCCTGTCAGACCGTCGGGCTTCCTCCGGCCACCTCTGGCTTCCTGCGGTGTACCGGGCCATTCTCGACTCGTCTGGCAATGCGTGCGCGGCATTCAACACGCGCTCGCCAGTTCCCGTCGGCAACCGCCATCGCGGCCGCATCAGCTGTACCAAACCGGCTGGCCGGTGTGACTTCGGCCCCCAGTTGTGCCAGCTTTGCTTCTTATGTTGTGGGAGGGCGGGTGGGACTGGGCATGCCATGCTTGACTCGCTCGAGCTGGCTAGCTTGACTCCTACTCCTACTCCTACTCCTACTACTACTATTCCTACTTACTACTCCTACTCCTACTCCTACTCTTCTCCTCCTCCTCCTACTCCTATTCCTTCTCCTCCTCCTGCTCGTCCGCCTCCTACTTATCTTCGTCGTCCTCTTCTCCCATGCGTAATAGTTTTATCATCATCCTCATACTCCACCTCCTCCTCATCCTGCTCCTCCTCCTCTTCCTCCACCTTGTCGTCGTCCTCCTCCTCCTCCTCCTCCTCCTCCTCCTCCTCCTCATCCTCCTCCTCCTCCTCCTCCTCCCCCATCTCCCTTTTCGCTCCTCCTCATCCTCTTCTTCCTCCTCCTCCTCCTCCTCCTCCTTCTCCGCGCTCCCAGCCCCTCGCTCCCTCCTACTCCCCCGCCCTCCGCGCGCGCGCGAGCACCTTGAAACGGATGGCTGCCGCGCCCTCACACGGCCCGTGCCGCCCCGCCTGGCCCCCCGCGCGAGGTGTGCGCGCGGCGCCCCTCAGAACCCGCCCACCACGGCGGAGAGGGAGCCCGACCGGCCGTCCGTGCAGCGCCACACCTGGGGGGGGGGGCGGCAGCGGGCGGCCAGGGGCTGCACGCGGAACCACGTCTTGGCGGCGCGCCATCCCCCTCCTCCTCCTCCTCCTCCTCCTCCTCCTCCACCTTTCCCTCCTCCTCCTCCTCCTCCTCCTCCTCCTCCTCCTCCTCCCCCTCCTCCTCCTCCTCTTCCTCCTCCTCCTCCTCCTCCTTCTTCTCCTCCTCAGCTCACGGGGCCCAAGGCGAGTAGATTTCCCTTTTGGCTCAAGCGCGTCATGGCTCCGGCCTGGCCAGCGTGCTTACGGCTTTCCGCAACCCTCGTCTTCTATCTCGAGACGCAGGTCGTCTAAGGGCGGGGCGGACGTGACACAGTCAGGTTTCATTCAATTTTGTATGTTGGTGTTGCCAAAGTGCTGTATTGCTGAATGTGTGGGATGTTCTCATCCGCGGTCGACGTTCTCCGCTTTCCTGAACACTTTCCTCGTTGTCCGTCTCGGGTGCGGGGGGCCATAGGGGGAGCCTGGTTGTGCATTGACCAACCCGCCCGCACTCGAGCATACTTCATCATTGTGGCGGGCTGGATTGTTTGGAGCTTGGTTTCTTCGCGGGGTGCGTTTCGAGGAACATATAGAAATATACATCAGCGTTGTTTAATTGAAGTGCACTGCTGGCCTTCAGCATTCAATCATGGCGAAGTTCGCGGCCATGGTCATGTTCTGCGTTTCGAGGGAGCTCAGGGTGCATGGGCTGTTCGCATCATCAGCATGTCCGTTGAGCGCTGGGCTTCTGCATTCAATATTGGTGACGTTCGCGGCTATGTCTAGTCTTTCGGCTCAGCATCCCAGGCTCAATTCGGCATGCAGGTTCCCTCGCCAATGCAACTCAATACTCCAAGGCGCTTGTGCTCGCCCGATCCGTTACTGCTTCGTGAGGACGTTCTACCGGCTCCTGGAGGCCGTCGCGGCGATCAGTGGTGATCAGTCCTACCCGCTCCTGGAGTCCGCCTCCTCCTCCTCCTCCTCCTTCTCCTCTTCCTCCATGTTGGTGGCGCGGACAGTCGGGGCGTTTCTGGTGCTTTCTGACGACGTCGTCGGTCCGTGGAGGGCTTCCAGCCTCGGGGGGCGTCGTCCTAGAGTTTTCAAGAAAATGTTCTGGCGATTTCTGGCGCGAGCCAAGGATGCGTTCTCCAGCGCGAGCAAAGGGCGCGTTCTCCAGCCTTTTTCACAGCCCTCAAATCGCGAAACGAGTGGGGGGGGGGCGGGGAAATCTGCTGGCTGGCCCTGCGTGGCCCCCCGGCCTCCTGGCTTCAGGGCGTCTTGGGCATCCCCACTGCCTGGTTGCGCTTACGCTTTTTTACAAGCGCGAAGGAAGCCCTGTGGCACGGAGGGGAGGGAGGGAGGGGGGGGCGAGGAGAGGGGCGACGGGGAGGCGCTTACGCGGTGCAGTGGACTGTGTTGATTGACCGCGGGGCCCCTCGCAGCCTGGGGCCGCTCGGCGGCTAGCGGTTCTCGGCGAGGGAACATCATGTCGTTTCCAGTCCTCCCTCCTCTTTGGCTGGTTGGCGATTGGCTGGCTGCTTGTTTGTTGTTGGGTCCTCGACCTGGGGTGCTCTCCCCCAGGCTGGTCGGATCGTTCGGTCATAACGTCCTGAGCCTTGTGGCGTGGCTTGTGTGTTGATGAAGGGGCCCAGGGACACACAAATGAATAAACACAAGTCGAAGGCATCCCCATAGTTTGTCATATGTTCTGCATGTTCGTCTACTCTTCCACTTCCCGTAATTTCCCATGTTTTCCTGGGAATCGACGATTATGTGTGTCTGAATGTTTTTCTCCCTCCTGAGCTGTGTCGGGCGCTCCCTGGTGAGGGTGGGGGCGCCTGGGCAATTCGCGGCCTGGCTGGGCACGTTAAGCCCTCCCACTGCAACCCTCAGGCGCGGCGTGCGCGTCTGGGGCAAGGCTCTGGCCAAGCTGGGCCGTCCCAGTTCGGGCCAGCCTGGCGGCGCCAGAAATCGCACTCGCCCAATGGTGGCGCGAGAGCTCTGCCCCAGGGTCGCACGTGGAAGGCCAGCCAGCAAAGAGTTTCTGGCGACTTTGCCTGTCCCAGAGGGCCTTCCAGCCTCGGGCGGGCTTTCAAGCAACTGCGCTCGGGGGTGGTCCCGAATCGTCCCGAACGGTCGCCAGAGGCCCGAGTTATGACCCGAAAGCCCGGCTCGGCAGCGCGACCCAGGGGGGGAAGGCAGAGGGGGCGGGCCTTCTCGGAAGGCTCAGAAGGTCAGAAGGCCCCCGGCCTTCTGAGAAGCTGTCTAAGCCTTCCCTGAGCTGAAGTTACGAACAAAAAGCAGCATCGCGAAAAATCACGACAGGAGCCCTGGTCCCCATCTTTCTGCGACATGTTTCGAGCCGCATCGATATGTAGTGATACGCCAGGTGTAAAAAGATTGCAACGCAAGAATACTCCGAAGCCACAGAGGGCTTCTCAGAAAAAAGGTCAGAGGGCTTGTGAGAGTTCCTGCCGACTTCGGAGAAGGCCTGCCCCTTCTAGCTTCACGGCCCCTTCCTTCAGGACCTCCCTCGTCATAGCGATCCTCCAAGGTCTCTGGAGAAGGCCCTCTGTGGAGGCGACGATCGAGGAGTGGAGAGCGAGGAGAGAGGAGGGAGGAGGGAGGCGAGGCGGAATGGGGAGGAAGAAGGGAGGACGATAGAGGAGGGAGGAGGGCTAGCGCGGAGGAGACAAGACCTAGAAGAGAAGGGTTCCGAAAGAGGGCCCTGGACCGTCAGAAAATGACTATGGAGAGATGCTCTTGGGGAAAGTCCTCGGTCAGGCAGTCAGGCACGTGTTTTCCTCGGACACCCCCTCCTTCATGCCGAAGGGGGAGGAGGCGGGAGGGGGGAGAGAGGGGGTGGGGCGGGCGGTAGAAGAGGAGAAGGTTGGTGGTGGGACGGTGGCACTGGCGGCGTCGCCGTGCTCATGTCCAGGTGGGGCCTAGGGAAAGAGGCAGGGGCCAGGGGAGAAATGGGAGGCGAAAGACAGCACCCCTCCATGGCGCCCTGCGCTGCGCCTCCGCCTCGGCATTTGCGGCCTTGCGGGCGCGGGCGGCCTGGCGGTTCGCTGCAACTCTGGCGATTTGCTCCTCGCTGAGGCGAGGGGGAAGGGGCGAGAGGGGCAACGACGGCGGCGGCGGCAGCAAGGAGGGGGAGAGGAGGGGAAGGGGCCCTAGGAAGGCCTCCACCTCATGCTCGGCGCTCAGGTCCTCAGGAAAAGCAGGGGAAGGTGGGCACTCAGAAGCAGGGGTAGGATCAGGAGCAAGAGTCGGATCAGAATCGCACTGCTCTTGGTCCATCTGGAATATGTGCCTTTCTGGGCCAACCCGTCGTTTATTGTTCCCCTGGCGAGCGTAGTCGGGCGCTTCTGAAGTTTCCTCCAACATCTTTGCAGTAGAAAGTCCAGAGATCATCGACAAGAGCGGGGTCGGAATCTTCTGCGTCCTCGTCACATTCCGATAGCGGTGCATACTGGGACTTCATAGTATCTGCAATGGCTGATGCAATGTGCCGGCACATGTTGGACGGATATGTTTCCTTCCGACTTGTCATTACGTCCCTTGGTCGTTCTTGCCCTGGAGGGAGAGATTGGATCCTTTGGGGTGGTTACAACGCCCTCGGTTTCCAGCGCTGAGTAGGTTGGGGACCAGCGTGGGCATGTGGAATCATAGGAGTATTGCGGGGGCCTTCCCGATGTCCTCCGGGCTGCAGTCGCGGTGCACACACTGGTGCCTCGAGCGCGCAGGTTGACTGCGGTGTGTTCTCCACGTCATACTACTGTGATGCTGATCAAGAAGTTCTGTGGCGGCGATCACGCGCAGCAGGGTCCTGGCCCTGCCGCGATCGACCCTGGCGCGACGATGCCATGCCGGCTCGCCTCCTGCTTCACGGCTAGCCCTCCTGCCGCGCGCCGTGGCGGATGAGGCGCTGGGGGGCGGGCGCGTGTCGCAGCAGTCCCGCGCGAGAGGCTTCGCCGTACCTGGTACGGCGCCCACAATACTCTCGGGCCGGGACGGCGGCTAGGGGAGAAGGAGGGAGGAGGAAGGGGAGCAGGGGGGAGGGCAGAGGGAGGAGCGAGGAGGAGGAAGGAAGGAAGGAGGAAGGGCCTACTCCTCCTGCCCCTCCTTATCATCCCTGTCCTCCCCCTCCGTCTCCTCCAGGCTCCTGCTCCCCCTCCTCCTCCCTCTCCTCCTCCTCCTCCTCCTCCTCCTCCTCCTCCTCCTCCTCCTCCTCCTCCTCCGCCTGCCCTTCTCCATCCTCACTTCCCTCCCGAAGTTCGGCGGCGGGCCTTGTCCTTGTCCCACACCTCCACGCCATGGGAGCGGAGGTCTGTCCGGATGGAGTCCTCGTGGGGCGGCGGCGCGTAGCTGGCTTACCTCCTCCTCCTCCTCCTCCTCCTCCTCCTCCTCCCTCCTCCTACCTCCTCCTGCGTCCTCCTGCTTTCTCGTTCTTCATACTCCTGCTGCTGCTGCTGCTGTTGCTCCGCCTCCTCAGCAGCTGCAGCCATCATCATCATCATCATCATCATCATCATCATCATCATCATCATCATCATCATCATCATCATCATCACCACCACCACCACCACCCATCATCATCATCATCATCATCATCATCATCATCATCAGCATCAGCATCAGCATCAGCATCAGCATCAGCATCAGCATCAGCAGCATCAGCAGCATCATCAGCATCATCATCATCATCATCATCATCATCATCAGCAGCAGCATCATCATCATCATCACCACCACCATCATCATCATCATCATCATCAGCATCATCATCATCAGCATCAGCATCAGCATCATCATCATCATCGCCATCATCATCATCAGCAGCAGCATCATCATCATCGCCATCATCATCATCATCATCGTCATCGTCATCACCATCATCATCATCATCATCATCATCAGCATCATCATCATCATCATCATCATCATCATCATCATCGGCATCATCATCATAATCATAATCATCATAATCAGCATGATCATCGTCATCACAACCACCACCACCGCCATCATCATCATCATCAGCAGCAGCAACAGCATCATCATCCTCGTCGTCATCATCATCAGCATCATCATAATCAGCATCATCATCATCATCCTCGTCATCATCATCATCACCATCATCCCACCAACCCCATCATCATCAACAACATCATCACAACCACAATCATCATCATCGTCATCAGCATCATAATCATCATCAGCATCATCATCAGTATCAGCATCATCGTCCTCATCATCATCCTCATCCTCATCAGCATCATCAACAGCATTAGGGTTGTCATTATGTGTTCATCACCAGGACAATCATCGTCGCCGTCGTCGTCGGCATCATCAGCATCAGCAGCAGCAACGTCATCGTCATCGTCATGGATCGTCGTCGGAGTGGTCATTTTCATCAGCAGCATCGTCATCATCATCACCAGTCAAATCACCATCATCACCGTCATCATCAGCAGCATCCTAATCGTCATCATCCTCGGCAGCAAAATTGTCGGTGCCATCAGCATCATCCGAAGCATCAGCAGCAACAGCATCATCAGCATCATCACCAGCAGCATCATCATCATCACCATAACCATCACCAGCATCGTCGTCATCAGCATCAGCATCATCAGCAGCATCATCATACCCACGCTTACCCCCCCTCACTATCATCATCAGCAGCATCAGCATCGGCATCATCATCATAATCATCATCATCAACGACCGCATCCGCATCCTCATCCTTAGCATCGTCATAATCCTCTGCATAAGCATCACAATATTTAGCCTCATCAACATCATACTCGTTCACATCAACCTTATCATCATCAACAGCATCATCATCATGAACAACAACATCACTATCGTCATCATCCGCATGATCATCAGCATGATCGTCGTCGTCATCGTCATCATCTCGAGCATCAGCAGCAGCATAAGCATCGTCAGCAGCCGCATCATCAACATCGTCATCAACATCAGTATCGGAATCGGTATGGTAGTCGCCATCTCCGTCGTCAGCATCATGAGATTCAGTAGCATCGTCATCATCGTAGTCGTTAAGGTTGTCGTGGCTGCCAGACGAGCATCTTCATCATCGCCACCACCACCATCATCACCTCTGTCGTCGCAACCACTGCCATCAACAGTGTGGAGTCATACGTTGGCCGCACTCATCACATCAAGACTCTTCGTCATCAGTACCATCATAAGCGCCATCACCATCATCACCAGCACCATCAACATCATCATCGCCATCATCATCAGCATCATCATCACCATCAGCATCAACAGCATTATCATCATTCTCGTAGTCATCATTCTTATCTGCTTCACCAACGGCATCATAATCATCCACACCCTCGTCCTCATGCTCCCCATCATCCCCACAATCATCGTCACCATTACCATCATCATCAAAAATCGTCAGCAACATCATCCTCGTCCTCGTCGTCAACATGTATCTGCATCGCCGCCACCATCACCACACGCATCATCACCCGAATCCCCACGATTATAAGCATTACCACTATCATCATCACCATCATCATCAGTATCACCATTATCATCACCACCACCAACAACAACATCATCATCATCATCATCATCGCCATCATCATCATCGTCATCATCATCGACATGGCCATAATCGTCATCATCGTCATGAGCAGCATCCACCATCGCCATTGCCATCACAATCGTCACCACCATCATGTTCATCCACGACATCATCATCAGCATCAACATCATCATCACGTCGTTGTCATCGTCATCCTCATCATCGTCATCGTCATGCCAGCATCACTTTCATCGTCATCACGTCATCATGCCATCTTCGTCACGGTCATCATCATACTCTTCCGGAGGAGGGGGAGGAGGACAGGCAGGGAGGGGAAGCAGCAAAGGGCGAGGGGGATACACATCAAGAGGGGATAGGCGGGCGAGGAGAGGGAGGGGTAAGGCAGGCGGAGGAGCCTTCCCTGCGGAGCTGCCCCCTCATGGACCAGGAGCCCACAGCGCTCAGCGTTCAAGAGCCGTCCATCACGAGCGCGTTTCTTTATTATTGGCGATAATGGGCGTTATAGGGGGGGGAGAGGGGGCTGGGGTGGGTATAATGTGACGCCCCCCCCCGCCGTGTGGCTCGGGCACCCCAATCGCGCCCGCGCGCACGACGACGATGAGCGATGAGCGACGAGCGACGAGCGACGACGACGACGACGACGACGCGAACAGCATGTAAGTGGCGACCTGCCCACAACGCCTGTGTACACCACAATGCTCGCGTGCACCACAGCGCGCGTGTACACCACAGTGCCTGCGTACACCGCAACAGCCGTGTGCGACGCAGCGCCTGTATACACCACAGTGCTTGCGTGCACCACAACACTGGTGTACGTCACAGCGAATGTGTAACACCGCAGCAACCATGTGCCACACAGCGCCTGTGTACACGACAATGCTTGCGTGCACCGCAGCGCCTGTGCACACCACAGCGCCTGTGTACGCCACAATGCTCGCGTGCGCCACAACGCGCATGTACACCACAGTGCCTGCGTACACCGCAACAGCCGTGTGCGACGCAGCGCCTGTGTACACCACAGTGCTTGCGTGCACCACAACGCTGGTGTACACCACAGCAAATGTGTAACACGGCAGCAACCATGTGCCACACACCGCCTGTGTTCACGACACTGCTTGCGTGCACCGCAGCGCCTGTGCACACCACCACAGCACCTGTGTACACCTCAGTGCTCGCGTGCACCACAGCGCGCGTGTAATTACACCACAGTGCCTGCGTACACCGCAACAGCCGTGTGCAACGCAGCGCGTGTGTATACCGCAAAGCCTGCGCGCACCACAGCGCCGGTGTGCACCACAGCGAATGTGTAACACCGCAGCAACCATGTGCCACACAGCGCCTGTGTACACGACAATGCTTGCGTGCACCGCAGCGCCTGTGCACACCACAGCGCCTGTGTACACCACAGCATCCGCGTGCACGCAGCGCCGGTGGACACCACAGTGCCTGCGTGCACAGAACAAGTAGAACGAGCATGTAGGTGAAAATCTGCTGCGGACAGCTAAACGCCACGCCAGAGAAGTGCTGACAATAGAATGCGACGTTCTTCCGTCCTCCCTCCTCCGCCACCTCCACCTCCACCTCCACCTCCTCCTCCTCCTCCTCCTCTTCCTCCTGCTCCTCCTCCTCCCTATGCGGATCCCCATGATGTTCCCAATGCGGACCACGCTCCTATGCGGACTTCTATGAGGACGCCCATGGAGATCCGGATGCGCGCCCGGAGCGCCCTGGGGGGGGAGGGGCGTTACGCTGTAGGGGGGTGAGGGCCGGGGGCTATAATGCCCATTTTGCCCCAAGCAATAAAGAAACACGCTCCGCCATTGAGGGGGAACGATGGGGGGGGGACCAGCGCAGGGAAAAACTCATTAACCTGGAATCGGCGATGCATCGCCGATAAATCGGCAGGAGGCCCCCGATAACGAACCCGCACGCTTCTGGGCGGGGTGGGCTACCAGGACACTGTCGGCGATGAATGGGCGATTGGGGGTCGGTGCGTTCCCCTCCTGCGCCTACCCCGCCCCCATCGTTGCCCCTGACCCCTTATTCTTATCATCCTCCTCCTCCTCCTCCTCCTCCTCCTCCTCCTCCTCCTCCTCCTGCCCCCTGCTCCAAGGCGGTTGCACCCCCCCTTCCCGAGGCGCGGCCGGCGCCGCCCCCCTTGGGGTCCGCGGCGGTGAAATCTCGGCGGTCCCGCGCCTGGCAAGCTGGCAGGGCGGAGGACGACGCCGACGACGCCCGGGACGGAGAACGCAGAGGAAAAAGTCGACGCCGACGACGCCGACGACGCCGACGACGCCGACGCCGACGGCGGCGGTGCCGACGCAGACGACGGCACAACGCTAACGACGCCGACGACGAGCAACGATACCGTCGCCGACAACTCCGAAGAGGGGGGAGGGGCGGGTGAGGGAATGGAGGCCAGGAACGAGGGTTAGCGGGAGGGAAGAGGGGAGGAAGGGGGGATCAGGGGAGAGAGGAAGACAGGGGAGGGTGCGAGGTAGAGGGAACGAGGGGGAGGGGATGGACAGAGGACGGGGGGTGGGCGTCGCTTGAGGTGGCAGGGTGACAGAAGACGGGGGACGGAAAGGTAGGAGGACGACAACGAAAGAGAGAGAGGGGGGGGGGCGAACAGAGAGAGAGAGAGAGCATCAAAAAACGAAGAGAGGGAAGGGAGCTGGAGAGGTTGACAAAGAGGAAGGAGGACCTCGAACGAGATGAAGCGGGTGAGGGAAGCTCGGCACGGAGGCAGAGGCGGACGAGACAATAGGAGCGACGACGACAAAGGTATGGCGTACCCCAGGGGGCGAAACCTACAACGATCTCAACAACGACGGCGACGGCGACGGCGACTGCGACGATGACGGCGACGGCGACGGCGACGGCGACGGCGACGGCGACGACGACGACGAGGACGAGGACGAGGACGACGACGACCGACGAAGACGGCGACGACGGCGACGACGACGACGACGAGGACGAGGACGACGACGACGACGACGACGACGACGACGCCGGCGAGCGCGGCGAGCCTGCTCGCGGCCGGCTACCAGCGCGGCGATGGAGGGAGTGGAGAACGTCATGCCCTCGGGCGCGGGGGCGACGACGGAGGCGGGCGGGCGCGGCGGCAGCGACGACGACCGCGACCGCGACAACGCCGACGACGACGCCGCCGCCGCCGACGACGACGACGACGACGGCGGCCACATCGGCGACCGCGGCGGTTGGGGGGCAGACGCGGCAGCGCGGCGGCGACACGGCGGCGGCGGCGGCGACGACCACGGCGGCGGCGGCGGCGACGATGCGGCGGCGGCGGCGGAGAGGGGACATCGCACGAGTAATTACGCTGCCCCGGGCGCTCTGGAGATCGGGGCAGGTGAGAGGCGGGGGGAGGGGGAGGCAGAAGGGAGGGAGGGGGGGAGAAGCGAGAGGAGGGGGAAGAGGAAAGGCGGCTTGCCTCAATTCTTCCGCAAGCCCGAGGTCCGAAAACCGAACCTCTTCGTCACCACTTGGCCTTCAGTCACATGGGCCCACTCTAGACAAAGAACATGCGAGTGTGGTCGCCTTCGCGCCGCCATCATCAACGAGCGCGCGACTGCTGACGGCCGCACCTCCACACTGGAAACGAAAAGCACGAAGGGCCCCCGCTGGCGCCACGAACGCACGAAGCCGGACCACGAGCCCGAAACACCAGCCCTACCGAACTGAAGAAGACCGGGCGTCCCCTTCACCAGGCTGCACCAGAACACGGACATGAACGGCTGCACCAGAAACCAAGAGTACACCCTGCGAAATGCTTAAGAAATCATGGGATAAGAACTTCATAGTCTCAGAAGTTGAATAAAAACCCAACATTTCTATCAACATCGTGGGATTTACATTGAAACAGCAAGAATAATCGAGACTCTGGACGAAAACTTAGGTTTTCTTAAGCATCGCCTAAGGAGTATGCCCCTGCGCCGCTCTCCGAGCGTGCCACGCTCGGTAGAGTCCTGCTGCACCGGGCCCAGAAGGCGTGGCCCGGGCCTCGGCCGACAACGCCCGGCTGCCCACCTGAGCTGCTGCCGCACCCAGGAGCGCCCAGCGGGCACACCCTGTGCGCCGAGGGTGAGAGGGAGGAGGAGGCGGAAAGCGACGCGCCGAGGTGAGCCCCTCCCCCCCCCCCCCACTCGACGGAAGAAGAAGAAGAAGGAGGAAAAAAAAGAAGAATAAGAAGAAGAAGAAGAATAAGAAGAAGAAGAAGAAGAATAAGAAGGAGAATAATAATAAGAAGAAGCAGGCCTCCTCAGAAGGCGGCGGGGCGAGGTGAGCCCCTCCCCCCCCCCACTCGACGGCGAGCGAGGGGGAAGTGAGGAGAAGGCCCTCTCAGAAGGCGGCGGGGGCGTCTCGGAAGCCCGCGGGCCGTCTGCGAAGCTCCCCGCGTCTTCGGGGAAGGCTCAGAAAAAAAAAAACAAAAAAAAAAAAAAAAAACCTCCGATGGATGGCCAGGGGACCGCCGAGCCTTCTGAGAAGGCCCGCCCCGTCTCGCCTCCCCCCCGGGCTCGCCGCCGACCCACGGGAGTGAGGGTGGGGTCCGCGCTCTGGCCACTTCCCCACGCACGCAGCCGAGGGCCAGCCCACCGCCTGCGCAACGTCGAGCGAAAGGCCAACTCCAGAGGGCCGACGCCGACGACCGAGCCACGAAACAGCAGGAAGGGAGGCACGAGGGGGGGAAAGATGGCTGGTTTCCCTCCGCCGCGCAATTTTGCAGGACGGATCAGGCTGAGTTTGAACGTTTGTCGGAGCAGGGCGGGTCGAGACAAAGGCGGCTCAGAATCGGCCCCGGGACCCCTCTGAGGGTCTAAACCGACCAGTTTTC